TCACCCCGCCCAATTCTCCCTCTTTCCATCACCCCTCCCCATTCTCCCTCTTTCCATCACCCCGCCCCATTCTCCCTCCTTCCATCACCCCGCCCCATTCTCCCTCTTTCCATCACCCCGCCCCATTCTCCCTCTTTCCATCACCCCGCCCCATTCTCCCTCTTTCCATCACCCCGCCCCGTTCTCCCTCTTTCCATCACCCCGCCCCGTTCTCCCTCTTTCCATCACCCCGCCCCATTCTCCCGCTTTCCATCACCCCGCCCCATTCTCCCGCTTTCTGTCACCCCGCCCTATTCTCCCTCTTTCCATCACCCCGCCCCATTCTCCCGCTTTCTATCACCCCGCCCCATTCTCCCGCTTTCCATCACCCCGCTCCATTCTCCCGCTTTCCATCACCCCGCCCAATTCTCCCTCTTTCCATCACCCCTCCCCATTCTCCCTCTTTCCATCACCCCTCCCCATTCTCCCTCTTTCCATCACCCCGCCCCACCCCACCTCGAGTGATGGCAGGGCGATGTTGGGCTGCCGCATCAGCAGACAATCGCATGGGTGAAGTGAGCAGGGTGACAACTGGATGGAGCTTTTGCTTTGTGTGAAGCATGCATGTTTCGTTTCCTTGCAGGTTGGATGCCCGAGCCAGCTGGAGTTACAGGCACGAGCTGGAGGCTAAATAGAGGGGCGGCTAAGTGGCAGTGGCAAGAGGATGTGAAGGCTGACCTTTTGCTTCGGTGGGAGGTGCAGGCACGGATATAGGGGGTACGGGCATTGAACTCTGTATTGTTTGTATGTTCTGTATAACTCATGTGATTGCTGGAGATCAATGCAACCGTGAGCGTCAGGCCATAACAAACTAGTAGGGATGGAAAGTGCAATGTAAGCGGATGTGAGTAAGCTGAGAGGCTTATCACATACAAACAATGCGTGGTGTTCATAGCATGCGTACGCGTGGAGGAACGGAATACGGAGTGATCATAAGCACGGAGGCAGAGGCTACAGGGACAACGAGAGGGATGAATCAGGGAGCGAATACGAGGGGTCAAGAGGCGCGCGACGACGGCTTGCCTAAGCGGGGAGCGGAGGAAACGAATCGGAAGAGAAGGAAGCCAGTGGAATAGCCAGGAAGGAAGCGCGCTCGGAAGGAAGACCGATGCGTGCTAAGGGCGAGGAGCACCCGACGAGCTCTTATCAGAGGAGCGCGTCGTGGCATGAGGAGGCATCGGCACAGCGGTGAAAATACACGCTGCTGCCGAAAATCGAGGTTCCTGAGCGCTTCTCGGGAGATACACGACGTGGACCGACGATCAAGAATTACGTGATGCAGCTGGACAACTTGCGGGCGAGGTGGGAAAGAGATCGGCTAGATCCGGAAGAGTTTTTCAAGGGACTCGCCAACACCTTGACCGGGGAAGCAGAAACCTTTTACTGCCTGAGCAGGAGGGAACTGCTGGAATGGACGGCTCGAGCGGCCCCAGGAGAGCGAGATCCTACGTCGCGTTTCTTAAAGATGTTGGAAGATCAGTTCCCGGCGCAGACACCGGAGAGGGTAGCGGAATTTCGAGAGTTTCGTCGTCGTACGGGAGAATCGCTACTGGCCTACTATGGCAGGCTGGTGGAATTGGCGGAAGACATGAGCTGCCATGATACGAGTCGGCTGGTCAGCAAATTCCTGAATGGGCTACACTACGAGCTGAGGCGGGACGTGGCGGTTCGGGTCTTTGAAATGGGGGCACAAGCGACGCTGAAGGAAGTGTACGAGGTGGTGAAGCAGGTGGAGATCGGGCGTCGGATGTGCGAGATTGAGACAACGACGGAAAATGGAGGGGAGCGTAGGAGGCCTGCCTGGGCAGCAACGCCGGCAGAGAGGGAAAAGCCACCGCGCAGGGCAGGGGAGGAACGGCGCTGCCACAACTGTGGTCAGTTGGGACATCTGCGGAGGGAGTGCCGTAACCCGCCGGCATGTTCCACCTGTGGGAGTGAAGAGCACCTGAGGAGGGACTATCCCGATGCCCCGGTGTGCGAACGCTGCGGAAGAAAAGGGCATCTCGGGAAGGATTGCTACGCCACTAGGCGGGAGGGAAAGGCGAGGAAAGACCTAGAGGAAGTGAAGGCGCAAATCGCTCGACTGCAGCGGCAACTGGAGGAATTACAAGGGTCGGAGCAAAAGGGGACTGCTATGCTGGCAAGGTCTGAGGAGGAAGACGAGGAAGGGAGCGAGGCCAGCTTCGCTCTGATGGCGTGCCCCGTGCGAGAGAGGGGAGAACTGGGGTTACGCGCGCGACATCGGTATTTCCCGCACGAATCCCCTGTGCGAGAGCGAGGGCCGAGGAGGGACACTACTGAGGCTAGGACTATGGGGGCGGCCCGACGCCACCCATTTGAGAGGATGGCATGTCAGCCATCGGTACTAGTGGTGGAGCCAGGAGTGATGAGCGTGGGCGGCGTCAAGGTGAAGCAGGCCATTTTGGACACAGGAGCACACAACGTGTTAATCGGCGCACCGATGGCTAGGCTGTTGGGCCTGGACAGGGAGGACCGGCTGATACACGAAGGCTACTTGCTAATGACCGCAGAAGGAGGTATGGCGAAGTGGATGCCGAAGACCAGGAACATGGTGGAGATCGTGATACGACCCGGTCAGCAGGAAGAGTGCATAGTACGGATGCACTGTGGAGTGTCGACATCGGAAGACTATGACCTGCTGCTTGGGGTGGAATTTCTGTTCACCATCGGCACCACTATCTGCATGTGGGAAGAACGGCTGAAGTACCGTGTGACCTATTGGGAGCACGACAGCGAGCTGGCAGAGTTACCGGTGCGGTTTATTAGGTGGGAACCAAGGGGGGCCTACCAGGCAATGGAGAAACCGCTAGAAGAAGAGCTGAGCGTCATGAGCTGGAAGGAGATGGGGCACACGGAGGCGGCCAAGAATCAATATGAAGAGATTTGGGGGGTTAGCGACAACCTGCGAGAGCCGGTCCTGAACCTAAGGGCGCTGCAGAAGCCGCTGGTGATACTGGAGCTGTACGGCGGAATAGCCACAGGACTGGCCGCGGTACTGAAATCAGGACACACGGTGGCCAAGTACCTGTACGTGGACAACGATGGAGGCGCGAACCTGATGGCCTGGCACCACCTGAAGCTGCTAAAAGCCAGGTATCACGAGCAGCTGATGGAGGAAGCGGCCGAGAGAGGAGCAGATTGGCTATGCCGCGGAGTGGAAGAAATTGATGACGGGATGCTGGCGCAATGGGGGCGAATCGACTTGGTGATCGCGGGCTGGAGCTGCCAAGGGCTGTCACGAGCGGGGAGAGGCCGAGGTATGGGAGATGCGCGGAGCGCTCAATTTCGAGATCTAGTGCGGGTGTTGAAGATGATAAAGAGAAGGCAAGGGGAGGTGGCATACATTGTCGAGAATGCGGACATGCCGGACGATGCACGGCCAGCGATACGAGCAGCCAGTGACAAAATCACCGACAAGCTGGGGGCAGGAGTGGCATTGGATGCGGCGCAAAATGGGAGTCGAGCGCACAGGCCAAGGCGATACTGGCAAAACGTAGTACCGGAGGCGGCGCTGAGGTATCAGCTGTCGCGGATGGAGCGACCAAGGGCGAGGAAGGTGGAGGACATCTTGGAACCAGGACGACTGGCTGCGCCGGTTACAGAGGCGGATCATCCAACGCAGTACCCATGCAACAAGGTGGGGGAGCTGCGGCAGGCATGGCCAACCCTAGTGGCCTACGAGAATGCGAGGGGCTTCAAGGAAGTTGGAGGAGTGGCGGGACCTAGCATGGTGTACGATCAGGCGCGCGGAGTGTGGGAGGAGCCAACAGCGCAAGAGAGGGAGTTGGCCATGGGTTTCTTGGCAGGAGCGACGGCCTGCGAGCAGATGACAGAGAAAGACCGGAAGGCAGCCCTGGGAAGGGCAATGGATCTGAATGCGCTGCAGTGGCTGTTCATGACCATGTCGAATCACCTGGAAAGAAAATGGCTGGAGAGGAGGATTGGGAAGGCGACAGCAATTAGGTCGCAGACCCAGCTGGCGGCAAACAAGGAGATGGAGGCAAGGACAATGATGGGAGGGTCGGAAGAAAAGGAAGAGAGCCAGTGGTGGAGGGAATTCCATAGGATCACAGGCGCGCCAGCTGGAGGGATGACAGGGAAGCCATACCAGGGCGATACGCAGACCCTCCCGAAAGTGAGGAGGAATGGAAGGAGGAGGAGGAAGAAATGGAAGAAGAATCAGGAGTTGGCAGAGGGGACATCCCAGATGAGTTTCACGACTCGGACTTCGATATGGGAGAGGAATACGACGACTACAGCGACCCACCGGACTGGCCACCCATAGGACCAGCATACATGCATCGCTAATTTGGCGGGTGTGGGTAACGTGTTGGGAACGACTTGTTGCCGAGTTGTTTTCGACTCCTGGCGTTTTCACGCGAATTGCGATTGGTTTCCGATACATCTGACAAGTAGAGATCGACTGGTGCTGAGAATTTCTCCCAAACCCTCCGAGCTGGTTCGGGAAATTTGAGCGAACACGCACAGGACAACTGGCGCGTGAAGATTTGTTATCACTTTGTTTCTATTGGCTGCCGGGCCGTCCAAATACATTCCGACGCGCACCCGTTTAGAAGAGACAACTCGTTATCACTCATTCTGAGTCGTATATTTACCAATAAATTAATTGTATTGCTAAATATTTATTTGAGATACTAAAGAGGGATGAACACAACGAGGTCTTAAATCATTAATGTCAATAGAAACAGTAAGAGACAGTACACTACTGAGATCTAAAAAACAGATTCCATAATTTACGTGAATTTTCGAATAATCGTGTACAGCCTAAAATGTTATATTAGAAAGCACAGAAACATTAAAAGCACAATACACTAAAAACGTCAAAAGCTTACACAGCTACAGGTCCAACAACTACCACTAGTTACCAACCTATCTACACCTACAAAAACAGCCATAAGCTACCATACAGGTACTAAATCTCAACCGAAAAGCTCCACCTGCTCCTCATTCTCGTCATCAACCCGCTCCTGTGTGCCTGGCTCGCTCACCAGCTCATCCAGACCAAGGTCACCATGCTCGTCTGCAACCAGCTCCTCCTCTGGAATCTCCTTCCAACCAACGATGCAGATCTTGCCGATCCCAAGGCAGCCGTCCGTGCAAGTGACATCACTGCTGTTGATCCAGCGCTGTACCACCCGCGCCTGCCTTGCAAGAGCACCAGGATCCCTCGACCGATCCAACTGAGCCTTCGTGGCGCTGGGATGGCGGAACTTGAACCTCACCTACACGAAAAAGGAAAGCAAAGATAAACACTTGTTAAACTGCACCTTGTGGAAGGCAAATGAAGTGTTTCTGCTTAACTTACCGCTGCTAGGATAACAAGCAGCTGAACAGGAAATAAACCAATTGGCAAGGCGCCACTCGAATCCCACAGGGAAGCGCACTTAACAAAGGCAGGGCTGGAAAACGGACTGCCTCTCTTGTTGACGTGCCAGGGAATCCCCAAGAACTCTGCAACGGACAGGAAAATAATTTAAGACATGCCACATTCATTCAGAAACTCAATTAATGCAAGCAGTAAAAAAAACTCAACGTCTTACTGTCAGCGTAACGCTCGAGGTAGTCTGCACATTTCGTAAGTAAGTCCTCTGGCACCTGCAGTACTACCTCCCCCTTGAAGTTCCGCTTCCTCTGCAAAAACACGCATGGTTCGAGGCTCATAGCATAGAGGCGACAGAAGTGGTATATTTTACCGATCTGGTCGTTGAAGCGCACACACGCGTGCTTCAAAATGCCATTGACCTTCAGCAAGGCAGCGAGCTTTAAGCTCTGAGGGGAGTCAGCGATGTAGCCAGCTTTTTCTGCACATAACACGAATGACCACAAGTTAAAAAACAACGGAAAAACGAACGCAACAGTTTCTGAGCGACACTTACTGATTAAAGCTGCGAGCATCGCATCAGGATCGGGTGACAGGTTGAGCGTATCCGGCTTGAAAAGGAAGTCGTCACACGACTCCTTGATGTGGACCTGAAATTAGACATATATAAAAAAAAAACATGGCATCAGTGACTGTTCGTAGACATGGTAGACAGCAGAATACAGCGCAATACTCACCCGCCAATTCACTTTGGCGAGCTGATCATCGGCAATTTTCTCCGCCAGATGCTTCAGCAGCTCCAATGCATCCTTCAGATCCGCTTCCCTCTTCTGGAGCTCTTTACGAAGCTCCCCGTTCTGCTTTTCCTGGTCGTCAGCCTTCAGTTGAAGCTCGTCATTCACCTCCAGGTGCTGCCGTCCCTCCTCGCGGAAAATCGTAGCCTTGGTGGTATAAGCCTCCCCAATCGCCCGGGTCATTGCCAACTCCATCGGGTGAGCTCCAGTCTTGCCTGCTTGGGGCGAAAACAGACGCAACACAACAGCAAAATTAGCGAGTGTAAGCAATGACGGGTGTTACATAGTCAAGACATTCACTCACCCGCAGTAGCAGCAGCGGGTTTGTTAACGACGGCGGCATCGACGTTTGCAACCTCCGTCGCTACACCAGGGGACCGACGTTCACCAGAGCGTTCAGGTGAACCGGCAGGAGAAGCCTCGACGGGCGAAGCAGAGGTGACGATCGGCTGTTGCTGAATGACGGGATTTTTCGCCGTTGGGAGCGCAGTATCCTTCGCCCGCGTACTAGTGACTGGTGGGGGGGATTTGCCAATCTGGCCCCGTCGAGTTTGTTGACTCCGTGCCCCGGTGGGCCAGCGATTGTGTTGAACTTCGTCGGCTGCATCGTCAGCTTCATCAGCATCACCTGCAGCAGAATAAAAAAACCATCACTTAAAAACATTACATACGAAAGGAGGGTTCAATATAACTAAACTATACAAACACGAAGTACCTGAGACAGCGTTGTTACCAAAGTACTTGTGGTTATCCTTGCTAAGACGAGGCAAGGAGGGGCGAGACTGCGTATGCATCATAGCGGGAGGAACTAAGTTTCTCGGATTGCCGCGTGCCATCGTAACAGACTTGAGACTACTAGTCTACAGAAGCGTGTAGCCAGAAACACGCATGGGGAGGTTTTTATACTATGCGGGACCATGACAATAAAGAGCGCAAGGAAAAGCGGCTCGACAACATACAAGAAAAAGGCTATAACGAGTTTGGAAACGCACCGTCAGGTAATTGGGTCACCGAACGAGTGACAGCGGGGCGTGAATGAGCAGGCTCGGGACGGGGCACGACAGGATAAGCTCGGCCAAGGCAGAGGAAAGTGAAGTTTGAAACTCGAAATTCGAATTTCGAAAATGAGACACGAAGGCAGAGCAGGAACGAGGTCGTTTGGGGGGGAAAGAAAGGGAGAGGGGGAAGAGAGGGTGCGCGAAGGTACAACAGATGCGGTGAGAGTCTGGGGGGTAGCAGAGGGGAGGTGGGGTTCATGTCTTCCTCGAATCACGTGACACAGTGGCGGATTTCGCCAACCTTGCAAAGCTGCAACCACTTCTTTTTGCCCCGCTGGAGGACTCAAACTGTGTGTTGGCAGGTGCAACTAAGAATTTCGTATTGCCATGTTTGTCAGTTTCAAAACAGTGAAGCAAGCAAACTGTTGACGCGGCGAAATATTCTGCTCACAGGAACTGTACATCGATCCACACAGACAGGTTAGTCTGTTGAAATATATATGTAACTGCCTGTAGCTGTAGTGTAGTGTAGTTATTATAACCTATTGGTGGTGCACCTTCTTTGCATGCTTTGTTTGCTATTTGTACCTCGCTCAATAGTGAACTCATCCTCTTTGGCTAAACTCTCTCGACATGTTCCTCTCAAGTCCCCTCCTACCCCAAACCCTAGTCTAAACCTAATCTACTCTTTTAACATGGTATTAAGAGCTAGGTCGTCCTAAGACCTATTTTTTTTTCCCCATGGGCCCACCACGTATCCCCCCGCTCATGGCGCTCGTCACGCCCCCCGTCGCGACCGTAGTTACGACGGTTGCAACGGTCGCGACCGACAAAACGGTCTCGGCGGCGAGCTGCGCGACGGCGTCAGATGCGGCCTCGTTTCGTCTCCCCGTCGCGCCCGTTGCCCCTGCTCGTCGCGCGCATTGCCTGCCCCGCCCCGTTCTGTCACGAACACAGCAGCAGCCGCGCGCAGCTGCGTACGGCCGCGCATTGCTGCGCGCAGCTGCGTACGACCGTGCGCACCCGCGCACGGTCGTGTGCGCCAGCACCAGCGCCCGTCGCCAGCACCTGCGCGAGCGCCAGCGACGACGCCAGCGCCAGCAGCAGCTAACGCCGCCCCCCCCTTCCCTTCCGCAGCTTCCGCCGTGGGGGGGGGGGATGTGGGGGTGGCGGGTGTGAGTTGCCTGCAGCCCGTCCTTCCCCTCCCTTCAGCGTGGTCCGCCGTGAGGGGGGCAAGAGGTTGCGGGGGGAGGGTGAGGGGAAAGGGGGAGATTGTGAAGGAGTGGAGAGAGAGATTCTGCCGAGCCAGCAGCCGCCCCTCCTCCTCTCTCTCTCACTGCCACGTGTGCTGCCGTGGGGGGGAGGGTGAGACGGTAGCGGAAGTCAGCTAGGCATCTGCAGCTGCCGCCCGCTGCTATCGTGACACCTCCTGCTGCCGCCCCTGCCTCCAACTGCTGTTTATTCTGCTGTCTTCTGCTGTTGAGCGGCAGGTGCTGCCGTTGAGCCCTGCTGTTCCGCCGCACGCACCCGCTCTCCAGGCGACCTGCCGCCACATGCACCTTTGCCTGTTGCTTCTACCTTGGCTGAGGGGTTGGTGTAGCAGAATCTGTCACCACTGCACCGGTTGCCACTGCTCTTGTCTACTGTTGCTGTTTTCTCTGTTCGTGGTGTACCCATCCAAGAGGTGTTGCTGCACAAACTCCTGCTGCAGGCAGTTATGGGGGAGTGTTGAAATATATATGTAACTGCCTGTAGCTGTAGTGTAGTGTAGTTATTATAACCTATTGGTGGTGCACCTTCTTTGCATGCTTTGTTTGCTATTTGTACCTCGCTCAATAGTGAACTCATCCTCTTTGGCTAAACTCTCTCGACATGTTCCTCTCAAGTCCCCTCCTACCCCAAACCCTAGTCTAAACCTAATCTACTCTTTTAACATAGTCATGTCGCGGGCAGTTGCACGAAGCGAAGGGAAATGTGTAGAAGTGACGTGGATCAGGTGTTGGGATGGGAAATAAGCTGTTCTGCCCGCCAATAGAAAACTTTTATCCATCGCGGTAGTACGCTGGCAAGGCCAAAGAAGACAACACATGCAATATTTGTACGGGACTGACTGCTAGAACAATACAGCTAGATTGCAAAACAAAACAAAACAACCGACCTGTCTAGCCAGTCGTTCAAGCTGGCTTACCCGCTAAGCTGCCGACAAATGGCCACAGAACAAACAAAACAACCCTGATGAACGGCCAGTTGTTCAAGCTGGCTTACTCGCTGAGCTGTCGCCGGTGCCCTTGGTGGATATCGAGTCAGTAGCCGAATGCTGCACAGATGCCCGTGTCTACTTGTTACACTACTAACCGCTAACACGGCGTTCTGAAACAAAGGCGCGTTGTAACTTAGGGGATCTTTGATAGGGTGTAATAGAGCTAGACCTACTGTTTTTATAATATTTTTAATTCAAGTAAATTCAGGAAACAGGGATTCTGTGCGCAATAAATAAATATATTATGTACAGAATATACAGCCTACCATCTAAAATGGTTTAGGATAAACTTTGCGTTGGGATGAGCCGGCTCTACGGTTTTGGGTACGACATGCATCACACGCAATATACTCTCAACCGGCAGCACCCCGTAACCCCGGCCTGATGGCCACCACTGCAGTGACTTCATGTCCGTCGTCTGGGACTGTGCGGTCTCGCCGTAGTAACGACAGAATGCGAGTTGCTCCGTGATCTGCTCTTCCGTTCTGTCGCCGGCAGCATCGACGGTCTCCACTGTCCGTCGCAGCGTAAACACACAAAGGAGTTTCGCTCGCCAAATCTGCTTGACTTTGTTGTCGTCTTCGCCCTTGATTGTGACATCGGAAAACCATGGCTTCCCGTAGAACATCGGTGTAGCGCGGGCGTACTGCGGGTATCTACTATACCTCGTGTAATCATCGTCAGGCGGCACAGCGACACCAGAATGCACCTCGATCACGCAGTGATAGTGCACCTTAGTGTGCTCGCCAGGAACTCCCCATTAAGGTATGCTTTAATGGTTCCCTCCAGTAGTCGAAAGTCGGCGGGAACGCTCGCGCGGTACGTTTTGAAGTTCTTGTCGTTGAAATCCCCGAGCACCATTTGTGATGACGATGCTGACACTGTTGGACGTCTGCTCTCGATTGCCTGCTCAAACAAAAGAAGCTGGAAACCATAGTTAGGTATCTGGTACTGAGAGAAAGCGGATATTTGTGAAATGTTCAATGGACGTGGAAAGAACGGACCATGTCAATTAAATATCACAATGAAAGACCCACGCAAACGTACCTGAGCACGCGCGCGCGTGCGCGCACTCACACAAACATACAGACGCATATCCAAGCATTCAAACACGCTTAGACACGAATGCACACACCTTAGAACACGCTCGAACTCGCACACACACCCCAACCTACACGACTATACGCACACATGTACCACAGCACACACAACCCAATAGATGGACACACAACTACAGATACACATACACCCCAAAACGTAGACATTTACACAAACAGACCCCAACGCACATACCTGTTGCAGAGCGACGCATCGTGCTTGATTGTCGCTCGCCTCCTCGATGGACGCGGTCATCTTCTCGATCGGCTCGGAAATGAGGCAACGTTGAGTGATCGAGGCCTCGGCGTTCCTCTTGTTCGACGCGCGGTACGGCCTCTTCATTATGGCGACGTGCACATGCTCGTATACATCCGTGCAGTAGTGAATCGGGATGCCTCGCCGCCTGATGTCGTCGGTAACATGCAGCATCGCATGTATCTTAGGGACGTTGAAGTGCGACTTCTGGTCCGCCTCGAACTCCGACATGAGCATCGGTACCAGCCTGCACGTATATCAACACAAACAGCGATCAGTGATCCATTCGTATGCAGGCAAACATACAAGGATGCAATCGCACAACCATACAATAGCACGTACGGGTGACAATCAAGCACAAATACTATTACTCACGTGCGTGTAAGGTTGTCCAGGTTCTCCAACGAGTCGTCGTCGTGGTATGTCCGATGCCACGCTTCGGAATGCCAGTGGCAGAACAACTCAACTGCTCGGATCGTTTTGTCATCCACCTTGACCATCAACAGGAGCACTGGCAACACTTGCATGACTGCCTGATGATGGAAGGCCTTGAAAGTCCCATTCCCACTAAAGTAGCCATCGCTGTGCGCAGGTAGTCGAAAGAACGACTGTCTGCTGTACTGGGTGATGGTCTTGAGCACAGCATCCAGCTCCTGTAGCTTTGCTGTAGTGAGCTTGTGCTTGAGACCTTCTAAGATGTGCTTGTACACACCCAGCAGCGACATGTGCATGAAGTCGGATGTGATCTGCCGATAAGGATTGGCAAAATCCTTATCAGCAAATCGTTGTCCCCACAATGCGCTCTGCACAAATAACAACGGTTGGGTTGTGTTGAAGTACCTGTCAGAATCTTAACCATCACAACAAATCATGACATACAGTGTGCAAAAGCATGTCGAAACTTTGGGCGTATACACGACGGCACTTACATGAATGCAGTGGGTGCTGTGTGCGCGCTCGAGCTCTGTGCGTGCTTCTTTCGTACGCGCACGCTCCATCTCGCTGACAAGCTGCTTCTGGCGTTCCTCCCTCCTGTACTCAAGCGGGTGTTCCATGTTGTTGAGCTCCTCCTTCGGTACGGCGCATCTGGGGCATGGGAACTTTTTCTTGATGCCCGACTTGGTTCCAGCGACCTTGCACTGTTCCGGGTAGTCACCGACGTACGCGTATGTCATCGGATAAACCTTACGGAGAATGCCATATGGGTCCGTGAGCTTCATTCCCC